ACAGACAGTTAGCAAAAATTTTTAGTGATATTTAATTAAAATATATGTAAAAATACATGGAATAGACGGTGGTTACCAACTGGATACAAAAAGTCCAAAATCGATGAGCCTTGCTTAGCTACATTTGGCGTGTGCGAACATTCAAGTAACATCACTAACAAAGAACACCTACCTATACTGACTATCCGCCTGGTCTTGGTATTCTCGGTATATGCGGAAAAGAAAGAATTTACAAAGTTACTAGCTGTTAAGTGTATTGCTGTGACCGATACAGCCTACTTCATGTTTTTTAAACAATTTCAAGGATGAAGGAGAAATCTGAGGTACTAATCTGAGGTTTGCATTTAGTCGGATTTAAACCGTTTGCTACCATGCAAAAAGCTCATCATATGCTGTTGTTTGGATGTGCAGAGCCAGGAAGCAGTGAAGAGATTTGGTAAGCACTTTTCCTTTTCTCAGATGATTTTAACTCGAATTAGAATTCATTTTGCCAGAGTTACTGAAGTGAAAGAGCTTTCAGTGTTAATAACATTCATCAAGTACTTTCAGTTAAGCAACAAAGAACCATTAGCCGAAGGATTATTAGTTACAGAGATCCTATTTCTCAAGTTTTTCGTCTCGAGTCGTTAACTATTAGTTTGAATTTACTGCACTTTATTCCAATTTATGCTGATGGTATAAGTTCAATAGTAAGTGGTACCCATGAAAAAGTAAACTACGAATCTAACAGACCTAAAAAGGTAACGTACATACATCGAACAGGTGGTGAGTACTAACTGGAGGCGTGCAGCTCAGGATCGAACAACTTGACGTGTAGCAGCATTCAGTAACATCACTAACATCAGACATTCACATGGATTGTTCGGCAAACTTTGCTTTTCTCATCCTTTAAAATACTAACTGCTAAGCAAAAGTAATTGCTAAACAGCATTAGCTAGAATTTCTTTTTTTATAAACTGTTATTTGATGAACGAGATTTGACACTTTGCGTAAATTTTTTTAGAAGTTTTAAATCAGTGAAATTGCAGGGATTGTGGTGAAATGACAACAGCTGGGCCAGATTTTGAA